AAGTTCAAAAGTTTAACTGACCCTTTGAAATTTGTTAACCCAGTTACCTTGGGCCCAGGAATTTTATAAAAAAAAAAAAAAAAAAAAAAAGGTTTTTGGATTATAGGCCCCATTATCCATTTTAAATATGGTTTTATTTTTTTAGTTTTCATTGGGGTTCAGGTTTTTTGGGGGGAATATTTCTTTGCCTGGAGAATTTATTTTTTTGCTTTTTGGGTTCTATTAAGACCTTTTTTCCAAAAAAAAAAACCAAAGGGGAAGGGGAAAATTTTTAAAAAAAACTTTTGTCAATAAAGGCAGGAAATATTAAAAAGTGTGGGGGGGGGGGAGGGGGGGACTAAATTTTTTTTTAAAACAATATGATGATCTACTCATAGATGGTTCCAGTATGCTATTCCCAGTCGCCACAATACCCAGGACCTGGCTCAGTAAATGCAATGCAGACATGTTTTATAGCTTTAATTCACCCGTGCTTATTATTATTACGGAGCCCCCCTGGTGACATTGGATAAAAAAAATAATAAAATGCGTGGCCACGCGTTATTATCTTGTGGCCACGCATTATTTTTTTTTATCCAATGTCACCAGGGGGGCTCCGTAATTATGACATGTCAAGATGACGGTTGTGACCATTTTTTAAGATGTATGTCTCTGAGATTCCTGCAGCATTGAAAAATTACACTGAAGAAATATAACTTTCCCGAAACTGGAAAAGTAGATTGAATCTGATCAATGCACAGCATTCAGATTAAATAGTTTTTGTTGGAACTTCTTGTTGTTGTGGTATTCAACATTGTTATGGAGGTCTGGTGATAGTCTAAATTTTTGTAATTGTCTTTAAGTCCTATGAATTAAACAAAAACAAAACCAACAATGAACTGACTCTACTAACAAGAACACAGCAACAAATGCATATTCATCCGCTGTTGAAAATAGTCCCCAAAAAATGCAGTATTTACATTTTTTCTTTGCCCCGGTTTTCAAGGAAATTATTATTTTCATTTTTAAAATGAAAATCAGTTTAGGCAAGATTTATGTCTTCAGTAGGAACCAGTTCGTTTGGACCACAAACAGGATAAGGATGTTTAATAGTATAGACTCTTATATAAACACACTCTTAATTTTGGTCTTTTCATGAGATCTGTTGACAATAACCCAAAAATTGCCTTCCATTCTGTGAGAACCACAAAAAAAGCTCCATTCACCCCAATTGTATAGGGGTAGACAGAAAAATCTTTTGTATCTCAAAACACATTCCTGTTAATCATCAGTGTTGAAATGTACTTTTTTGGCTCAACTTTCCCTCAACTTTTCCTCCACCATTACCTTATCTCTCCAGAGAAGGAGCTTTAACTTATAAGGATATATATATGTCTGGAGAGAGGTGTGTGAACAGCACAGCTGGAACAAGCGTTTTACCAGTCACATGAAGAATTTTAGCTCTTACCTAAAATGCAACATGTCTTTTCTTAGCGTTGCATTCTGGTCTATGGAGGCAGCTGTCAGTGTGAAGCTGTTATCTCTGCCTCTCCGATGATGGATTTCTCCCTGTATGATTGCTGAACGCCCGTGAAAATGGTAAGTCTAGAAAGAAACCTCTCTCTTTGATTCGGAGGGACTGACACCAAAACCTGACATTTACTGTTGATGTTTTATATAGTTTAAGATATTTCTGCTGTCAGGCTTCATTGTAGCTGCTCTGGAAATATCTTGACATGAGATCACAGTCTCTATGACTGGCCTGTTATCCACAGGAATAAAATAAAAACATTACAAAACATAAAAATGGGACTAGAAATGTAAGCTACATCACCACCAGCGTATGTGGGAGTCTTTTCACTTTTGGTTTCAGCTTTTGTACAGAACTTAAACAATATATAACAGTAATTAAATTCACTGTACTGATAACTATAATTGCCTTTTCTCTCAGGCAACATGTCCTAAAAAAAGATTAAAAAAAACAAACACATCTCACCAACTCTCTTCAATGGCTTCCAGTGTGTCAGAAAATAGAGTTTAAATTACTGCTGCTTGTCTAGAAATCTCTTGACTGGCTTAGGACCAAAACACATCTCTGACTGTCTTACCATATGAACCCTCTCTGCTTCTCAGGTCATCAGTCTGCCAACTGTTTACAGAGTGCAAAATAAACATGGGGAAACAGCATTTATTCAGAGCTGGAACAAACTTCCAGAGGCGTCTAATAGCCTTGCACTAACAGCGACCACCTTTAAATAAATGCATTTTAATGTTTTTATGCTTTTTTACTTTCTTTTTTTTAATACTTTATGTATATTTTTTTGTATCATCTTTGTGCATGTTATCTGCTATCCAAATAAACTTGCCTTGCCTTGAGTAAGAACTGTATCTATGCCCTTTTGTCTTGAAACATACAGTTTTTCTCAAGCAGTGGGGCTCCTCCTAAGTGATGTGAATACTGGTTTGGAGGAGCCTAAAGTGACCCTTTATTACAGGTTAGATAAGGTATAAATGGCTGGTATACTTTCAGGGGGCCTGTAGATTGATTTTACTCTGAGTCACCCCTGCACTCCACATTGAAACAAATTACCACTGAGCTGAATTCCTATTCCAGTGCTGTAATGCCGCGGACATGCAGCATCAGAAAAATGTGTTCTGTTATTACCAGAGGTGCACTCTTACTGTTTGTCTAAGTGTCTAATGTGCAATTAAGTGGATCAGCTAGAGTATATTACCCGCAGAGTATGAAATGACAGAATTACATGAATGCAGGCTCCAAGTATTGTATATTTATGGTAGCATTATGCGAAACAACGGCTTGACCGGCTGAATCATGAATTTAGATTAAATGCAGGACCAGCGACCACAGACATTTGTCCTCACAGTCATAAGTGTTTATTACCCTAAAGTTCATGCTATTAAAACCATGGGTCAAATAATCTAAAATTTATTTGCTAATTCCTTTTTTTGACTAACAGTAATCTGTATCTGTACTGAAACCAGTTTAACAGATATTATTAATGCATTTTACTTGGTTAAAAACAACAGCTGTATGTTTTTTTCCATTCTCCGGTGTCCAATCTACTGGCAATGTAGCTAAAATGAACACATTCACAGTGGGTTTTTCTTCTTTTGCATATGAAAATGAAATCAATTCCCACGTTAAATTTCGGAGGTCTTTACATCCAATCAGTTTGAATTGTTTCGCTGCTACTTAGGGTTTTCATCTCCATGGAAATATAAATCCATATTTTTTGCACGCTGACCTTTGCATATTACATGTGGAGGGTGTGTATGACACATTATGATTGCAGGGTAGTAGTAGGAGTAGTCGTGATTATGTTTTATATATTTACATTTCTATTTTAGATCACCAAGACAAGAGATGCAGCAGAAGGCAGTAGTTTAACAGAGCACTGCAGTGATTCCCAAACAGGGGTACTTGTACCCCAGGGGGTACTTCTGCTTTTGCCATGGGGTATATGGACAGATTGTAGAGTAGCTCAACTAATTTGAAAAAAAAACCAACTGAATTAATTTGATTATAAAAATACATCCACATACTGAGTCAGCTATTTAGGTGTTTTTGTAATTAACAGCGTGCGGAAAGCAGCAAGCAAGCAGAGAAGATGAAATTGTGACTTTAGTAATTAGCTCAAAGTAATGGATAAACTTTTGAATTGGATCATTAAAAGTAATGGATAAATGGCTGGAATGTCCAGCTTTTGCCACTGCAGGGGCTACAAATTTAAACTAGACCCAATCAAATCAAACTTTGGCGCTTGTAAACTAACTCAAATGACCACATTTGAAAAATAAATGGTGGCAATGTTGAAGGGGTATTTGAGTTCATCAGACTGGGATATAGGGGTATGTCTTGCAGAAAAGGTTGGAGACCTACAGTGCTCACAGAGAACATAAGCTCAAAAACAAAAGGAACATATCTCCACAGATGCAGTTGTTTTTTACGACACACCTAACTGTTTTGGGATGTATTTGGCTGAAATCTGGTCAACAGGAGAAGCAGCTGATAACATTTTGGTAACAATTCAGATTTCTGCCATTAATTATTGTTTATAATACATTATTTAGAGGGTGAAAATCATTCCAGACTTTTAGTATTTATTATGTAAGCTTTTGCCACTGGCTACCAGATATCGGCATCTGTCTCCTCCTCAGTTCCAAAAACCCACTTACTCTCTCCTAATGACCTGTGTGCCTTACCTGAGTTCAAAAGGCTTTGATCTCAGCTGCCCGAATGAAGTGAACTACGGGAGTAAACACTCCAGACTTTAAGGTAAACAGCTCCAAGTATGGATTTTGTGGATGCGAGCTGCTGGATGAGTAGATGTGCAGTACAGTAGCTTTATACACCCATCTCTCTGCAGGATCTCTATGCTGCTGCAGGAATAACCGGTGAATATGATGGGGGTGCATTCCGACTCGGCACAGCAAGGGGTGAACAGCAGTGATCCATGAACTTCAAGCACTAGTGGGACTAAAGCCAGGATCTGATCAAGCCTGGCAGGGACACATGCATGGGCAAAGGTGTCACATGTGAGCTGCATACTGTACAGTTAAAATTCCCAAAAATAAAACACCCTTATGTAATTAGCCTCCTTTCTTGTCTTGACTACCTTGTCACTGAATTTAACCAGAAACCAATATGGTAACAGGTTTGTTGTACAAATATCTGGGGACAAAAATGTATGTAACCCATTATTTTTTAAATACTGTGTAAATCAAGGATGTGTGATTTTTTTTTATTTATTTTTTTACCAATTCTCCTTTGAGATATTAAGTGCCCAATAAGGCAAACTCCTTGAAGGTCAGCGTGCCTTCAAATATGAAGCTACTGAGGCTGAATTACTAATAAAATGCTTTCTGACATACATCATTATACTGAAGCACAAAAAATGCTTGAAAAATGCACAAAACATTGCACATCCCACTCTTATTTAGTCTTCAACACTGGAAGGTGAAGTAAAAATGACACAATGTCATTTGTGTGTTTGCATTTTCTTTAGTACTTTACATATAACGGGAAAATACAAGGGTTTGTTTTCAAGAGAATACAGGAAATTTAACAGTGCTCTGTACATTAACATATTGTTGTGAGTTTAGTGGTTGCTTGGCACAGCTGACTGAGCCGTGCACATCGTGCACAGTTTCCCAAGGGGGGCAGAAAGGTACAATTCAAGATGTTAAATTACATGTCGTAAGAAGACTAAGTTTCTATTAGCAGCTTGAAGAAAATACAAAATGAGCAATATGTGCGCTGTCACCAAAAGCAGGTTCACAAAAAAGACATCAAATACATAGGGGAAAGAGAAGAAGGATGTCAAAATTATGTGAAAAATAAAATCTTAAGATGCATCAATGGGCAAAATATTTACATACTGTGTGATTTAATCAATGGTGAAAAAACATATGAAAACAGTGTATAAAGCTGCTATTAGATACTTAATCTGTTACAAGTAGTGTCACCAGATTGGGCTGACCACATTAACACTAAACAGCCAGGTTTAGTTAAGAATCCTACATTCATCCTGAGAAACCATCATTTAAAGTTAAAAACTGAAGCACTTCCAGCTGGCTGCCGCTTTTCTTAATTTCATGTTTCATTCAAATCATGTAGATGCTGTGGCTGAAGGACGGGCTTGGACTGTCAAAAAAAAACGTTTCATCTTCTCTTTAGATGTCAACACAGATTGAGTATTATTAAACACTAGAATCAGGTCATTATTCATTTCAACCACATCGAACAAAGAGAAGGCATGCAGTAAACCAAATCCTTAAAGTCCCAATCCAGGATTTATGAATATATCAAATGTGGGTCTATATACATGTAGAATATTGAAAGGTGTGGTTTACTGACAGAAAATAATCTCCTGGCAACTTTCTGATACAGTAAGTGAAAAATTAAAGCCTGTTTTGCTCCAGTATTTACAATGTTGCTGTAATCAAACCACTTACATATCTCATTTAACACTTGTGTTGAGCTGTCACATATGGTCAGTCAATGAATAAGGAGCTCAGGAAACACATTTTCAAAGTAAAAATAAAATATGTCTTTAATTCAATGTTTTGATCCGATATATAGCTGGTTTTTTTTTTTGCACAACAGCGCTGCCTCAAGAGGAACAATTCTGGATTGGGTCTTAAATAAGGCTGTAGGGGCTGAAAAGCATGGCAATAAAATGTTGTACATTTTCAATGACAGTTTTGAGCTTATGTTCATTATCACAACAGAAGGAGCAAGTAACATTAGTTTTCTCATAGGATCACTAAAATCAGTCAGTCAGTTAACATAAAAGAAAAATCCAAGCCCTTAGATGCAGTACAGAATTAAAAGAAAGTGACACGGAAACAAATTTTTATCTCATGGTTGCTTCATTAATCTTGAAAAGAACTTGCTTTATGTGAGATCAGAGCTGGAATAACATCAACCTTCAAAAGTCATCTCCAGTCATCCACTCTAGTATTAAAAGCATACGCTACGCTAACAGGGCAACTGCAATTAAAAATACTATTAGGCCTGCTGTCATCATGCTCTCAGTTACGACGTGTCTTGCTGGCTTGCAATGTTTTGGATGAAATCTCACTTGAGAGATATTTTATGCTCTTTCTATACCTGGCAGATTTTTCCTTTTTCTGCTTTAGTGTAGTTTAAAACCCCTGTCAGTAAACCTTTAAAAGCTCAACACAGCAATTAACACTTTCTGCACAACAAAACCCGCGAACAACACCCACTTACTGTGTTGCTGTCAATCCCTTTGATTTGTCAAATAAGCCATTCAGCATCCTGAGATACTTTTACATGTTGTCATAACCACACCAATGGCAACCACACAGAACATCTGCCAGTAGCAACACAACCGGTTTCTTTATCAGAGAGAGCTACTAGTCTCTCGTCCTATTCATTTCCTTCAGACAAACCACATTTGTGACCTCCAGATATGAGTTCACTGGAATAGATGAAACAAAATAGGGACTACATACATAGTAGAGTGTGTTTCTAAAAACAGCATGACAACATGGGATGGCCATGATTTAAATGATGGAGCAAAAATCAATAATTTATTCGGTCATCCTATTTTCGGGTGAATGACATTTCCTGCAGAGTTTAGAGGATCCTGTGTTCAGTGTGAATGTTTCAATGTTTCCAACAAGTACATTATACGTTTTTTATTTTGGCGGCCAGCCAAAGTTGAGGAAGGGAACTAATTCATCAAAAGATTAGATCTGTTACAATTCTGGTGCATAGCAAATCCCCATATTCAACAGTCAAATGCGATACCACTTTGTTAAAAAGCTACAGTTCTGTCATGACGTTACTGAGGGGAACCTTCTACTCACCACAAGACTATAAAATGTTCAAGACTTCAACCGGCTTCCCACTCTTCTAGGTTGGAGTAAGTAACTTGTTGAATGTTCGTGCGGGAGTCGACTCTGGCTCGATGCGGTATATACATATATTAGAGAGGAATGTCTGCGTGTATGTAGGCCTGACATGGCATGCGTGTAATGCATGATAACATATTTACTTTAGCAATGTGTATGAATGATTATATAATTACAATACAAACATTTACAAATTTGGAAAAAGTTGCTGATTGTGCCTCAAGATCCACTTCCATGCAAAGAATGTTAGAGATCCTCACAATACATAAGCTCTTTTCTATTTATACCTCATGCTCGAGATCAGTTGTAGTATTTTACATCTTACTACACTGTCTCTAGCCGTAGTGAGAAAACAGGGTGCCCGCGCTGATATAAGAAGTGAACCGTGACAATTTTTATAAGGCATTAGATTTGTTCAGGACCAGGAGGACTAGTAGTAGGGCACTGCTTTTGACTATCTATGAAATGTAGAAAAATGTACGGAATGAACATGAGTACAAATCATGAGTGTGCTGCACCAAGAACAACAATGAAGAAAGTTTCGCCATTAAAAGAACACTTTTCCTACTTTGGCAAAAACAAAATAATTTTTTAACATAGCTTTCATGAGAGTCTTTGACAGTTTTTTGTTCATCAAAGGCCTCTTTGTTTGGAGTAGGTACAGTACTGCAGAGTCCTGCTGAGCCAGCAAAAAGCCAATACCAAACTTCTTCTACATTCCTGTCCATATCAGGCTTTCTCTAGACTCAAATCCTGAAAATAAGAGAGCTGGAGCAGCTCTCACATCTGGCCATGACTCAGCTTCCCAGCTGAACATGTTTCCTATAGCCAAGATTTACAGATTTCTCTGGTGATTGAGATCCTCTGGTCAAGTCTTTGGCTTCCTTGCATTCTCTTCTGTGTGAGCATGTATGAGATTACAGCACTGTGCAAACTAAATGGAACACACCCTAACCAAAACAACAGTTGGCCTTTTAGTCTGTGAAAAATTATCTTTCACTTAGGTGAAAAAGAGAAAAATAGAAAGGAACATTTCTTTAGAAAGCTGAGAGGGGTACTTCACACTGCACCTCTTATCTCAGGCTATTTCTTTTATTCTGCGCATGTAATCATGGAGTTCCTCTGGGTCTTGAAAGCCCATATCCTGGCAAACCCACTGAATGTCCTCTTCATCTGCTATGGGGATTGAGTTATAGGGCAGCTCCTCTGTGGGAAGGGTGGTAAAGGTGGTAAACTTGACTCTCTTGCGCTTGGAGGTGGGTGAACTGGCCTCCTCACCATTCTCCTTTGTAGAGCCACCAGAGCTGCCATCACCCCGCCCATGTACCTGGCTTTGAACGCTAGTCTGGGAACTGCCACTGCTGTGGTGGTCCCCGTGGCAGCAAGTCTGAACGCCCTCCAAGGGGTTACTAGGACTTTCTACCTGCTGTGGCGACAGATCACACTGGGCTCTCAGTGGCTGGCCATTTCCCAGGAACACCCAGTGGTGGGAATGGTCCATGTTGGCCTGACCCTCGGGCGGGATCCGCTTATGGCGGTATTTAAGCACGAAGACAATGCAGTTGATGAGAAAGACTAAGATGGCCAGACAGAAGACTCCCAGTAGAGCATACATGCCAATCTCAAGGTCGGTCATGTTACGAGGTGAATGCACAAAGTCGTCTTCCTCCTCTTCATCACTTTCAGTTGGTCGCTCCTCGTTGCTAATGGTGGGGAAATTGGTGTAATCAATGGGAACACTGGCAGGCTGCTCATTAGATGTCTCATAAATTCTTCCACTGATGTTCGGATCAATGATTGGACGCCTGGTGACAGGTGCCAGCTCAATCTCACCCTCTGTGGTTGCCTCTTCCTCAGAGTCTTCCTCTGGGCCAAAGCGGACCTTGACATAAACTGCAGCAGATGCGATGACGCTTTTGCGTTTGGTCTTCTGGCAGGCCTCGCAGATGGTCATCTCTACACGCACCATCTCGCCAGATCCCTCACCTTCTGCCACCACCACAGGCCAGCGTTGCTGAGGTTCCTGGGATACTGACACAACTTTGTCATCCAGTGTGGAGGCATTGAGGTTGTAGTCTTTGGGATCAAAGTAAGTCAGAGTCGCTGCTGTGTTGTCACTGAAAAGCATCCAGACAGACAAACTGGCCTCCTGTCAGACAAAAATAAGAAAAATATAGTTTATATTAGTAGTTTGTTCACGCTATAAAAAAAACAACTTTTGGTTACTTCTCTTATTTTGTAACAACCCTGATCACAGTGTAAAGATTTGTTAGTATCGCAGGGTTGTCTGTCCTTGAATGGTTCTATTCACAATTGTAGTTAAATGTCTTTGTTGTCTCTAACCAACCTATAGAATAAGTAGGCTGAATTACTTAGTATGCAGGGGAAAATAAGCTCCTCTAGTGTTTTCTAACAACTAGCTCATGAGAATTTGGCAAATTATAAAACAATCCAAAATCTCTGCCAAATCTTATAGTATAGTAGGTCCAAGAGCAAAATAATTAGTACCACTGTCTGTGTATGGGTCAAGATGGGCAGAGTGTAACTATGCACCTAAGTAGAGGGAATAAAAAAACTATTGGTGACTGATTATTAGGCTGAAAACCAAATAATGCAAGGGATAATTGTTTACTGGGGGCTTTGTTATTGTCACAACAAAAAAGCTGCATTTTCTTCTCAATATATTGAAAAGCTGTGAATATCTAAATCAAAAACAGAAAAAAAAGGTCTATTACAAGGCAATGAAAATTTCTCTTTGATGAATAAATATGGGTGGATTACCTTATTATCACAGTTAGTTGGACTATTTGTGCTGCTTCAAAACTTTAAAATCCTTGAAATTAAATAATTGCTCCCTCAGCTTACTGAAAATACAATTCATGTGTGTTAAATTTAGTGTGCCCGAAAAATACTTATGGAGAACATTATGTGTCCTAAGGACCAATAAGTTCAGCATGTCTTCAAACATAACTGTACAGGGTTTCAAAGGTCTACCAGTAATGGTGCAGCACATGTTTACCCTTAGATTTCACTATTTAAAATAGTGTCTTTCTCGTCAAGATGAGAGACAAATGTTGGGCCAGAAACTGCTGTGAAGGACAGGTGGGACAGGTGATAGTAATGCAACTCCATACAGCAGAGTTTCATATAGTTGATTTAAAACTTGTATGTATGTTTGTGTGAATGTTTTTATTTTTTGCAACATGCTGTTTTAATATCAGAGTACAAAAAGAGTTACAAAGCTGTGACTCTGCCTTGTATTTATATCTCTCCAAACAATATTTCAGCAGTTCACATCCCATTCTTTCATGGCACTGACCATGATTTTAAAAATCTGTTCCCAACTGAGCCTTTGAAGTTCTGGACCTGCTCCAATCCCTAAATCTCCAGAGCTTTTGTGAACATGTGCAGTACCCTGTGCTCAGTACAAGCCTTGACATGCACACAGACGGCCTGCCTCTGATGTGCACACCAGCAAACCACTTTCAAGCATGGAGGAGGAAGGGGTGGCAGGAATGACTGCGTTGTCCTGAAGGCTACAACGCAGCTCCGCTCTGCAGCACAGGCAGATAAGGAACATACAGCAGCAGCATGTGCCTCGAATGATGAGATCTAGTCAGTCTCTTCATGTTTGTTTTGTATTTTCTATCATTCTTTGCTGTCTATACTCCCCTAAAGAGAAACAGGATAAAATGACTGAATTCCTGCATGCTGGTTACCTGACAACATTCATTTGCCACAGAGTAAACCCCAACGCTGGTTTCCATGTAATCAAGGCTGTGTTTGACAGTCTACTTTGTTCACAGCTTGTTTACACATCAGCAACCAACCATGGAGAAAGGAAAAATGTTGTCTTTAAAACAGTGTCTGACAGTTTTAAGCTCTTTATTTTGCAAAGGGCACATACACTTTTCAGGACAAAAACCCCTTTGGTCTGATTTGGGAGAAGTCTACTATGTTGTGATGATATTCCACTATGAATCAAACCAAGCCTTTGATATGGATGATTTAAATAATACATTGAATATGGCGTATCTGTTTTTTATGAGCTGACTCTGATACGAAAAACCTGACATAGGAACAAAAAGACAATGAGTGGGTGTTTCAACACTGAAAAAACAATTGGCACATCTCTACAGGAAAGTTATGGATGTGGAGGAGGTGATTTTGTTGAGTCCTCCAACCATTGACACCCAATTTCCACGTATTTCATGTAATCTGTGCATTAGGATGAAGTTTCCTATCTTACGTTTACCACATGATTTGTGCTTTATCGGGCAATATATTTGGATGTAAATTGAACATAAACAGCTGGAATGATAAAATATGCATACGCATAAAAAATATTCCTCTAGAAAAAATTCTGAGTGATATTTGCATCAACTTTAGTTGTGATAATACTATCCAGATTCATAAATATCTTATTAAGTTGCTCATTTAAGTGGTAACAGTGAGTAAGTCATACAGAAATGGTTTATGATGAGCCTTCAAGTGCTGAAGCCTTCCAGTTCTGAAAATCTTGAACTTTGTCAAGTGGAAAAGAGAATGATGCAAAGAGACCTTGATTGTCCAACTCTCCCCCATCCATAGTTTATGTGTTCATTCATTTCTGGAGTAATAGAGGACATTTAGAAAGTTTTCCTGTGAAACAGAATCAAATGGCTTGAAATAGCTCCAGTGCTCCTCTGAGAGCTTTACCGGCAGAGGAATTGGCTGCCTTTTATGGCCCGGCCTTGGAGAGCACTTAGGACAATACATTACAATAATTAAATTTCAAGGTGGCCAAGAAGCGGAAAGCAAGAAAAATTGGAATTTAATGCTCGCTTCTCTCTCACTGATGCTTGATGGGGTTGTCGTTGCATTTTTAGCAACTTGCAGGCCAATGAAAGGGCAAAGCAGGAAAAGAACTCAGACACACGCACATACACACACTTCTCCCTAGGTGAAGCAGGGCTGCCAATTAATTCCTTACAGAGAATTGCAGAGATCCTTATTCCTGTGTGAAGAGACAGTGGCAAAGAAAAAGCACACTTTCTGCTTTTTTTCCACCCAGACGTCTTTTCACTTCTCACTTGAGCAATAAAATCCATTTTGGGAAATGTATTTGGACATATCAGAAGTGTTTTGACAGGCTTGGCTAATATGGAGGTTGTGATAAAACAGCACCAAGGATACTTATTAGTTCACTGTAGCTGCCTTTATCTGGTGTCCTTGCTAACAATGCTGGCTGGAGCTTAAAAGATTTAGCTCGGAAATAATTTTATTACTCAGAAGTGAAACTAGTGCCTCCTTGTTGATATAAAGCCACTGAAGGGATTTGCAAATAAACCTAATTTTACCACTCTGGAGACAGAAATAAGGATACACATAGAGTACTAAGTGTTAGTAATGCATTACGTGCCACAATGCTACATGTGCACATGTACTTACTACACTCAGTAATTGGTGAGTGGTTCATTGCCACATTTATGTGTATGAGGTAAATGGTATTAGGTTTAGGTCTTAAGTAGGGATGCGGTATATATCCATCTCATATGATTACATTTATCAAGATCCAATGCAAAACAATACAATACACTATGATTCACTGATTTAGTTGCAGTTAACTTGCATAAAGGTGTGTTACTTGTGAACAACACAAAAAAAACCCATCAGAATTTCAAAATTCAGAATAGATCCAGAAAATTATGTATACCGCCAGAACAACAATAGTAATCAATGCAGGTAGAAGAAGGATCACAGAAGCTAACGTTTCCCATTTGGATGAATTTTTCAGAGAAATAGGGCAGACTAGGTTCCAGCGTCAGTTTATCATTTACCTCAGGTAGACGGTGATAACTTTACCGTCAGGGCACACGTAGCCTTCATAAATATGTAGCGAGGGTTGTGGTGCCACCTGCATATTATGATTCCGTTGTGTTTTTTCAGACTAAAATGCACTGTAAATATTTCATGCACCTTTGGACATGGTAGAGCGAGACATTTCTTTTTAGTGTGGGAATTTGATGACGCTATGTGATTGGGAAATGTATATTGTAAACTACAGTACACACACACACACACATGCATTATTTGTTACTAAGGACATTGGATTGCAAGTACCAGGAAAATTCACGACCAACCAAAGCTCTAACCAAAAATAAAAGCTTGATCCTGATATGAGACCAGAGACTATTACACAAATATGAAGCAGATAGAGAACATGATTTCTTTTTTCTGCACCATGTGATATGTCATGCTGTACCTGTTTGGGAGCAGTGAGTGTCTGGATGCCGGTTGCCTTGGCCACCATGGTGTGGCTGTTGCCGGGGCTGGGCTGCAGTGATAGGGTCAGGCCTGAAATGGCGTGAACACGCATCTCCGTGATGGAAACCTTGTCGTCTGTGACCGAGAACGCCGACTCTCCCAATACTGCATCCACTGCCAGAGGAGACTCCACCTGCAGAGAAAAGATGCTTTTTTATTGTCTCTCCACATGACAGAGGGGCATCGTTTAAGTCCAGAATAGACAACAGCTTTATTGTCTTTCTGAAGCTCATAAAGCCCATGACAAGCCAATTTTGGATTAAAGTGCTTTGTGCTGTTGTTTGTTCCAGTGCGTCTTGGATCCATGTGTCAATGCCTCTCCGTCTATCATAGTGAAAAAACAAACAAAAAACCCCCACTCGAGACGGAATCCATCAGCAACCAGACAACAATCTGGAGCAGCCACCACACGCTTTCAAAGTGACGGTTAGCAGAAACACTTGTGCCCATCTAAGTGTCACTACATGAAATACCAAAACCATTTGAAGCTGGTCTCGCTTCTTTGGGTAATCCCAGGCTTTTGACAGGCCTCTGCACCCAGTACTTTGAGCACTTTTAAAAGATCATCATTTCACTTTGCAACTGCAACCAGAGGTCATGTGGGACTTGAACAAAGTAAAGAGCCATTGAGCGAAGCAGTGGCCTTGTCCTCAGAATCAGATGGGGAAATCTTTTTCCACCTTCATCTCAAGCATTTTCTTACTGTAGATGCCGTCAAATAAAGCATGCTATGCTAGAGCAGTGGAGGGTTTGGTGCTCTGACAAGCTTCCCCAATCATCATTAACTGAAACCTTGAAACAGCAAGCCAACTACATCCCCTATATATGAGTTCTTCCAAACAACATTATTTAAAAGCCTTCAATTTGCCTGATTTATAATTTGATGTGACTTGATGTTCATGTTTTAAAAATTTGGAAACAGACAAGAACAATAAAAAGAACACTGTTCTCTACCTGAAGGCTTTAATACATCTCTTTATACTGTAAATGGAGCCTTGCTGTGACAGAAACTCAGTTGCTTCCTCCCTTGCACGGTTTCTACATAATTTGTCGTCCATTGTTTTTTGTTTTTTTTCGGCTTTGGCTCAGATCTAAGTGCCACATAATTCAGTGCAATAATTTGTCATGTAATTTGGTGCAATGTAATTTGTCATGTAGAGGCTTGAGCCAAATCATCTGCAGAAACAGATGCATCTGCAGGTGTCTGGTTTTATTAATTTGGTCTTGATACATTATGATTTGGGTTCAAAATCATAAACCCCCTTAATAAAAACACATGCACACATAATCTACACACACACACACACTGCAGATGCCTGCCAATCTTTTTTTATTACAGCCCCTGTGGCTTGTACTCTTGTTCTACGCTGTTTAGTAGGTGATGGCTACATGACAGAGAGATAAACTACAAGGATTGTATTATTTCCTTTATGTAATAGGCTGGATTGAGGTTTGGGATATCAGATGATGGCATAGCTATGGTAGAAGAAATTAAACTGACCTGCAACACACCTCTGTGCAACTAATTTTAAAGCAGTAGTTGTTCAAATATTCTGTAAAATCTGACAAAATAATCCTCAATTTAACCCAATTTACTGTCTTTTTTCTGGAGCTTTTGACAGCATCTAACTGTCTCCATCAGCAAAATATGTCAGATTTTGTCAAACTATTATTACTAAGGTCAAGAATGAGCTTCCTGGTGATGCTGCTCTTATTCTCTGCTACTACACTTTTGCTGTGTCCAGCAACATATTACAGTATTTTTTTCTTGCCACATAATTTGTCAGTGTTTATGACTCTCTGAACTCCTTGTTACCTCTGTAAGAAGTCCTGCATTGCTTTGATTAACATCAGTAAGTCATATTAAGCTCTCAAATGTACTAAAAATGATGATTCACAGCCAACCCGGAGCAAACAACACATAAAAGCATCACACACACAAGACAAGCCACTGCTATCGGGCGTTTCTGGTATTTTACCAACTGAGTTTTAAAGCCCTGATAATTGCATATTTATTCATTTTGAATAGTGTCAAGGCAGATGAGGGGCTCCTAAACTATGTGCCTGGAATTCTTCACACATTGTATCTGAAATAAAATATTTAAAAGTCAAGACCAACTTACTTTTACCTTTTTCTGGATTTTTTGACTGTATCTCATGTCTAGCACTTCCTCACTTCAATGACACCTTCACTTTTTTATTTTCAGAGTTATGACATTTGTTCCATCATGATAGCTCACACTAATTAGATGGCTTGACAATTGCTGTCAAACTTTGTATTGCACAGCTACAAGAATGATATAATGCTCCTTGCTAATTCTGTAGCAATCCCTGTTTCTCTGTAGCCGTGAGTAAAGTGTGTCTCCTATAGCACCTAGCTTCGCTGCCCTTGATATTTTGCTTTATACAACTCTGCACAACACTCTGTCTATATCCTGCAATAATATTGGAGTGTTATAAAGTTACAAAAGTATTCTTTAAATTTAAATTTCAAATTTCGCGCAGGAAAAGAAAGCAATCCTCTATACTGGTAAATGCTTAAGGGCTAGAAATATGAGAAAAAAATACTTTTATGCAGAGACAAAATTTTGCAATCAGGTTCCACTTCCATATGCATATTGTTTGGGTGTGATGGATTAATGTGCCAGAAAGGAGAGTTATGGTTCACTGGGCACCACAAAAACACGTGCACATGCATCCACACACGCGTACACATTAACATACAGATGCTCACACAGTGTGCATGCACAAACCCCAAGGCATGACAGTAAATGCATCAGTAAACTTTTAAAGTTTTCATGAGGACAACTCAGTTGCATGATGGATCACTCTCTCTACGGGATCTTTTTTTTGCTCCGACAAAAATCTTTGCATTAGCTTGATTGCAGAAGTTTTTATTTCTAGGAATAGATTCAGTTTAAGAGGGGTGTAAGTAAAGATAAAGACCATAAGTCATTTTATGAATCGTAAGAGAGGTGAAAGATGTGTCCTGAGCAAAAACGAGTCAGTTTCTGTGTAAAAACAAGTCTAAACATAAATCCTCCTGAGGTCAGAGTGAGTACGACTCCGCCAGTGAAAAGTGTTTGCTCACAATTGATTTTCTGCTATTTCATGTTCTATTCCACCGTGGCTGATATTTTCACAGGCCAATTTAAATGACTAAAAAGAAAATCTAATAGTATTAAAATCAATATTGGCGACTATGTACAAATGTCAAAACACAATTCAAAGATACACCACAATGTACATTGATTGTCTAAACTAAAAAATGTAATCACAGAAACTAATCTTGTTTGAGGTTATGGGCCATGCTTGAAACATATCGTTGTGTAGGCATTTATTCCTGAGCTGTCATGTATCCAATTTCAGGGATATTTAAGAAAAATCACTTTGTCACTACAGACTGCGAGCTGCAGTGCAAGTTTGGTATCAAAGCTTGAGCTATCTTTGATGCTTGCGTTTGCACACCTAGACCCTCAAAAATCACATAAACCTGTTTTATGCATGTTATACTTGTCTATAGATTTTTTTTTTTGCACCTAACCACAGCCTGTTAAATAAAACAGTGTTTTAAAAATAAAACAGGCAACATTACAGAAACATCATAGAAATATGAAATAATAAAAAAACACATTTTATTTTAAATCAATAGGCAGCCAAGCACACATTGGAGGAGAAAGACTTTGAGAGAAAACAGAAGTCCACAAAATGACTCATGATTCAAACATTCATATAATGTGCAAGTTCAAAGGGTGCACATCTCCATATGAGATACAACCAATAAAACAAAAAGGGCCAGTCGCAGCTTACTACAACCCATGTTTATGTTTATAGTTACATGGCAACCTATAGTAAATTATCACAGGAGTAAAGGAGCAAGTCAGATGACACAGTCAGTCAAGAGGTCGGGGTAGATGGGTCGGTCAAAAACAAGACTTTCATCCAGGAGGCCATTGTTGGTGTGAAACCAAAAGTCAACGTTGACTTATTTTATCTCAACATAACATATTTAAGTTATGTAATGTACTTAACTTATGTCACATACGAAATGTTGACTTTTGGTTTCACGTGGGGCACCAATACTTATTTTAACCCAAACCACGACCTTTCCTTAAACCTAACCAAGTGGTTTTGGTGCCTAAACCTAACCAAACTGTGACCGTTTTTTAATGTTAACCATGTGATAACGAAGTTTGAGGAAAGTCCAGTTCGCCTGGCACTTGTACTCTCCATATGTTGTTTTGGGAGTCATTGGCGATTGACCTTTTCAGGACTGGGGATGTGTTGTGAGATGTTACTGTGCCTGCCAAGAATTCTTGTGTATGTGATTATGTGATTTATGAATATCAGTCTTATTGATTGAGCCATAGTGCTGTTATTGGCATTAAACTGCAGCAATGTTAAAAAGGGAAATCGCTTTCTCCCGCCAGCGTATTTATATGATGAGGTATAATTTGTGAATCTGCACATGCTGGACAACAACATATATTTTAGCAACTAGTCTGGTCTCTTCTCACCATTATCAAAGAGTAACTTAACACCAGGTGAATATCTTGTTTTTGCTGACCCTTTATTGGCTGAAGTTCTCATCCTGCTACGGTGAAGTGTAGAAGTGGAGTGCTGTCAGCCAGCTGCGATGTTGGTGTGTGTGGTCAAACTTTCAAAAGGTTAGTGAAACCATGCTTTTCACCTTGGTGTTTAATTAATCTTAAAACTTTTAACACACTATCATGGTTGGGAGAGCAATGCTTTTAAAGGGAATGTCAGGAACTGATCTGATTTATGTCAGCCCTTTCCCAGTCATAACTTCCTCCTAATTTAAGGCATTTTACATTGCCGACTTTGATCAAAAAAGTGTCACTAATGCGTTGGTTACACCTAGGTTTTATACCAAGCACAGAGTATGCCTTGATTCACTTAAATGGGCATGTCTTTAGGGTATTCTTCTTGTATTTAAGTGCTTAAGTTCAATCATGAACAATTCTGCTCTGTGCAAATGAATAAGCTTCACATTTCCGTTAAGAGTGAGTGTAGCTAATGTGATCCGAGAGTCTGTATTTAATTACAAATACATTTTCATTGTTTGTAGATGAAAATAGTTCAGTATGACTGATGATTGTTATGGTTTTGGCC